AGGGGAGGGTGGGGGTAAGGGGGAGAGATCAACCAAAGGACTTGTATGCATGCATATAAGCATAAGCGATGGATGCAGACAACAGGGGTGAGGATGAGGGCAGGACTGGGGGAATGGGGGTACAAGGGGGAAAAGTACACATTTGTAATACCTTAATCAATAAAGAAAAAAATATATATTCAAAGCGGTGAAAAGCAAGGTTCTACAACCAAGATTACTCTACCCAGAAAAACTATCATTAAGACTGTAAGGACAGATAAAGAGCTTTCCAGATAAGAAAAAGCTAAAGCAGTTCATCACCATCAAACCAGTATTACTAGAAATGTTAGCAGGGGTCCTCAAACTACGGCCCGCAGGCCACATGCAAATACAAATATTGTATTTGTTCCCATTTTGTTTTTTTACTTCAAAATAAGATATGTGCAGTATGCATAGGAATTTGTTCATAGTTGTTTTTTTTTTAAACTATAGTCCAGCCTTCCAACAGTCTGAGGGACAGTGAACTGGTCCCCTGTTTAAAAAGTTTGAGGACCCCTGCATTAAAGGGTCTTCTTTAAGAAGAAGAAAAAAAATTAAATATGAATAGTAAAGTGGCAATAAATACATATCTATCAACAGCTACTTTAAATATAAATGGATTAAATACTCCAATCAAAAGACATATGGAGGCTGGAATGAATAACAAAACAAGACCCTTTCATATGATGTCTACAAGAGACTCACTTCAGAACAAAAGACACACACAGACTAAAAGTAAAGGGATGGAAAAAGGTATTTTATGAAAATGGAAACACACAAACAAACGCTGGGGTAGCAATTCTTACACCAAGAAAAATATATCTAAAAAAACAAAATAAACAAGCAAGCAGAACAGAGAAAATTTTGATGGCTGCCAGAAGGGAAGGGGGTTGGACGATAGTGAAGGGATTAAGAAGTACAAATTGGTAGTTACAGAATAGTTATGGGGATATAAAGCACAGCATATGAAATATAGTCAATAGTACTATAATAACTATGTTTGGTGTCAGATGGGTACTAGATTTATCATGGTTATCACTTATCTACACTAATAAAAGAGAAACATGGTAATTAGCGTACGACTGCTACCCTTTTCATTGGCTAATCAGTGAGTATATGCAAATTAACTGTCAGCCAAGATGGCGGC